CCCCCCCCGGCCACGTACTGGAGGCTTTTGTGCACCAGCCACTGGGACCCGCGTGGCGGGAGTGATACACAGGCGGCGACCCTCGGGCTTTCTCCTGTGCTTGCATCCAGCATTAACGGCATTTGGTCTTCACCCTTAGGGAAGCAACTTATACTTCTTTCCCTCTACTGAAACCCACCTCCCCCTTTGCTCCAGCTGACTTCTCTGGATGAATGCCTGTCACTGTACGTTTTTAAATGGTCCCCGCTCACTCTTCACGTCACAGCACACCTGTTACAGTGCCTCGTATTCGAGGGTATGGCAGTACCTTCTCATAATTCCTCCATTTGGGTGTCCACAGGATTTTCACATAAAGAAACACCTTTGAAGGGGAAGCGCAGAAGACATAAAAGATAAACAGAAGAAGAGAAAGAGGGAAGTGGGTGTTTGAAATACTAAGTTTCTACTACTTTTCACCAAATCCTAAATAATATTTGCCTAAAAACCAGAGATGCACGCACATAACAAGATTGTGATACACATTCCTGGCCTGTTATTTTCTGATCTCGGCACATTAATCTGGAGCTAATGTACTGCTCACTCTCTTTGAAGGTATTCTGACTTAGAGCCAATCTATGGCCAGAAGAGAAAATCACAGAGAACCTACAACCTAAACTCTATCACAGAAGACAGGACCACGTGCTAAAAGCTGATCATGGACACCTGTAGCCTCGGCATTGGGAATGGATGACCAGACCTACAGCTCATCCCTGTCTAGGAGTGGACCAAGTCCTTGGAAATGAATAAGCCTTCTTTTTAAGATGTCACAAATAAAACTAGTGTGGGACATGAGTACTTTCTATACAAACAGAAAGAACTGCATAAAGATTAAGAAATTCCATTTTTACTAAGTTATCAGAAATCAACTGATTAGTATATATTCTCCAGTGACAATTAAAACAAACTCTTTTCATGAATGTGGAATTATTCTTACAGATAACACTACTACTTAATAACAGAAATTAGCGAATATATTAAATTACCAGCACAGAACAGACCCGGTTAATCTCTATGTTTAAAACATAGAGCAAC